CGAATGTCGTTTATTTTTAGTTCACTCCGGGGAAAATGATTCGAATGAACGAAATCATTCGTATTCTTTGGTGTCCTGGAGCAAAATTATCTCGGTCGAATATATTCCCTTGTGCCATTGTTTTGTTTCGAGATTTTGCTAATAATTTTACTATATACATGTCACAAAGCTCTCGGAGAAATCTAAAAACGTTTAAACCTTTATCGACGAATTTTATAAAAAAAATATCACAACAATTTAATTTTCAGCTGTACGTCATTTAATATAATTACTTATATTGATATGACATTTTAATCAAACATTGATAAAAATTAAAAATTATAGTATATTATAATAGTCTGTCGTATAATCGTGGTCATTATCGCAAGTGCATGAAAGTCCGACTTGGCCGTAGAATAACTTGAAAATAGCTTTTTTGCTATTGATTTCATTTAAATCTGAAAGCTATAGTTATTGTTTTTATTTATTAAGATCGGACAATATAATCTAAGCCTTTTATACAGATATAAAATTTGAAATAATTTAAGATTTCAAATTTCAATATTATTTTGTTTCCTCTAAATTCTATTTAATACGAGGAAAGGGTCTCAAATGAATGCCCCTCTCCACTTTTGTGACTCGTCTTCAGTTATGAGTGTGAATATATAGTATACGATAATATGAATTATGATATGATATAATTTGTAAGCGCGGCTATTATCGTTTTCAATGGGAATGGTTACACCATCATTATCGACAATCTTGAAAAGGATAAATTATTATTTTATTTTAATGCGTTTAACGCAGTCACGAATATCATTTTCATTTTTATGTTCACGAAAATCGTGTACATAATACAAAAATGTCCATTTTTTATTTTACCATCTTTATGTTTGATGAAATCATTCGGGTTTTGCATTCATTCAATATAAAATTTGATTGACATCATAAAAAAAAAAAAACGCTTCCAACTTTTTTGAAATAGGTAGGTACATATTTTACACTGTCACAATAAAAATTGTATGGATATTATCCAAATAAATTGAATTTAATCAACACAGAATCATACCTAAACTATTTACATCTTTATGTGTTTTGAAATTATATCACCTACTTCAGAATATATAAGCTTTACATAGTGGGCATGTTTGTTAATTATGATTTATTTGTTATTGTAAGGTTAATACTAAGAGCCGAGCAACAAGATGAAGCTTATGAAACATAGGTAGTAGGTACTCACAGTTTAGAATGTTTTAAGAGTATTTACATATTTAAAGTACTCAAACCGTATAAACTCTATTGATCCTTCATTTTGAATTAACAGTCTGCTTGTATAGAGCCACAGAGGACGTTATAACTTACTGTAAGTTCAAGTCAAAATAAGAGTAAGAACTGAGAGGCCCCAATATTGTTATATTTTATGAACGTTTAATCACACGGCACAATGAAAAACTCAAACTTTCCAACTTCCCAAATTCCTTAAATAGTAAATATTATAGGATTTAATTTAATACTATAAATTATATTATATAAATTCCAAATTGAAGAATTATAAATTACAGTTATGATTTGACGTATTTTTGTTGGATTTTAGAACCTTTAGAACTTTTTTTTTAATCTAATAATAACTAAAAATTGTATTAAATAAAAATTTCATCCGTGATGTTGCATACATGAGTGAAGAGTAACAACCATGAAATTACGTGAACTCAGGACCAAAGAGATTAAATCGATTTTTTTTTGAAAATCTATTTTTCAATACCTACATAAAGTTTACTGAAGGCTTAGTTTTCAACATTAGTAAAAGCGTTATCCAGAGACTCAAAGGTGCTAAATCAATACCATTTAAAAAGTTGTTATTTAATAGTTATTTGGATGGAACCTTTAGATTTTTAATTTGAGTTTTAAATCTAATATAGGTTATATCCACATGATAAAACAATTAATTAGTAATACTTAAAAAAATAAATAGGTACTATTTAATATTCATTGTGTCAACCATACAATAATCATAATATACTATAATATTATTAATTATTGTACATTTATCAACAAAAAAAATAATTGTTTCATCATACTATTTTGGTTTTGACATTACAGCACATCTCCTCTTGTTTTCAACCGAATTTTATTTCTCGGGAAACATACATTTAATTCAGAACACTAAAAGTTCAAACTAAGTGAAAAAATATATTAATGACCTAAAGGTGCTACTTATCTGAAGCCATTTTTGTTTCGTAACTGAACATTATTTTTGATTTTTATTTTATTATATTACTATCATGCGTACCTATATCACTGCAATGAGAACATATAGTTACACATTTAGTTGTTCAGTTCAAGTAACACATACCGTAAAAATTGTACAAAGAAATAATTAAATTATGAAATGGATGTTAAAGTAGGGTTTTATGTAAAAATGTATACAAACAAGCTTACAGGTACAGGTGATAAATAATCGTTTATTTCTAATTATGCGAGTACCGTTGACATTATTTTAATATTATTATTGTTCACGATATTCTAAAGTACATAATATTATTATACCATAATATACGTATTCTTATATTTTTGTCGTAAAAGATTAAATGTATTGTGTATGTACCGTGTAGTAAACCATTATAATCACCTATTAAACTATTGTTTTTAAGCTCGTTGTTAGTGTGTCTTTGTTACTGTTAGGTACTTTTAATCCCACAACTAGTTAACATAACATTAAACTTGCATGCGGTGCCATAAGGTTATTATTTCATCATTATATAAGATTCTCAATTTAGAATTAAATACCAATATTTTTAAAGAAAAAAAATATTTTTACATGACTCAAAGAGTTGAATGTCGATAAAAATGAGTGAATTTTCACAGTGTATAACTGTGATTCAAATTTTAAATAATATTATAAATACCGAACTATACCTATTCAATAGTGTGTTCTATAATTACAAAAAAAAACGTCCTGCTGCAGAATATTCTAAACACAAAAAATACTTTAGTTTGATTGGTACAGGACGTGTTGTATAAATATTTACGGTATTGTGATATCTGTTTCTGAAACAATGATAAATCGCCCAAACTACAAAAATGTCTGCAATAACAGAGTTCGGAAGACACGCGAGCTTAAATTTGTTTGTTGATTTCGTCGAACGCAAGAAAAAGCTTCTTAAAAAAAAAATCTACCCCCTCGAGGCTTCAAAGTATCAACAACACTCGCGTGGTTTCCAATCGATATATTGGGTTACTCAATATTATTTTTTTTAAGAACTCTCTTTCCGTCAAAAAAAAAAACCGTTTGCAGACAAAGATAATATAAAAAGCGTTCTAAGTGGGCCACTCATCAGACCGTACAAAAACACTTGAGAAAAAAAACAAGACAAAATAAACAATGATGATGCGTTGCGTTTAAGAAATTATCATTGCGAGCCGATTTCACAGACGCGGTCGACACGACGTCCACTACTGCGATAGAATTGCCTACCTACGTTACCGCGACCAGAGTATAGGCTCTCCTAAACCTTATTAGGTGTAATGAAGTGTCAAGTGTCCGACCTGCGAAATATCAGACGACCCGCCGAACACAATAAACGTACAATTATAATATTACATTATACAATAAATTGTAATATCGTGTTAAAGCTGATATCACACGCGTATAATAATGCTATTATTATCGTATCACCGCTGTGCCCGTCGTCGTCTTCGTATACGTAGTTGAATTCTGTTGGCGAGACGTGTATAATATTATAATATAAGCGAAGACCTGTTACGACAGAGTGTGGTGATGATAATAACTACGACAACAACGATAATAATAATAACAATAATAATGATAATCGTGATAGACATTATTCCCGAGAAGAGCTGCACAACGTCTGCGTGCGAGTCCTCCCCGAAATATGATCATATATACATTATATAATATAATATGTATGACGTATAATGTATAATATGTATACGATATATATATATGTATATAGATAGTTACAGCAGTTATACGTGGCTTTGACAGTTTTCCGAGTCGGCACAATACAATGCACGTGGGGCCGTTGTGCCGGAGTCTTGGACTCGGGTCTGGGGTGGGTGTGGTGGGTGTGTGACGGGGTTGGCAACTTGGGTAGTAGTAGTGCGGGTTATTGCGTGTATACCTATATATATATATGTACATAGGCGTGCGCACGGGGGGGGGCGGGTAGGCCGCGGCCACCCCTGCGGCCTCTGGCATTTTCTTTAATATATAATCTATACAATACTAGATAGTGGTAATATTACTAATATTTTGATTTCTTCGGTAACATGCAATTAATTTATAATTTCATTGAAGGCAGCTGTACTCGGCATGCAGTATTGGAAAAAATTGCTAACTTAACAAACACAAAGTTAAAAACTTTAAAATCAATTTCTACCACAAGGTGGGCTTGCCGCTCAGAAGCTATTAGTGCAGTAAAAGAAAATTATTCGTCAATATTAGCAGCAATTGAAGAAATTATTGATAATACAAAACAATCAGATGTTCGAGCAAAAGGCAAGGGAATTCTCCATCATATGAAAACATTTGAATTTGTCTTTGCCATGTTGATGTTAGATCCTATTCTTTCTTCAATATTAAAAACAAGTGTTTTTTTACAGTCACCCAACATAAACTTATTAACTGCTGTAGAAATCGTTGAGTCATTAAAAAAATTACTTGTTTCTGTGAGAAATACTGAAGACGATTTCACAGATATTTATCATAAAACCATTCAAATGTGTAAAAATTATGATATTGAAATTCCACAACTGAAAAAAAGAAAAGTGTCAACCAAAATTGACTGCTTGAGTAGTACACAGCACTATATGTCTTCAAAAGAAGAAGAAATGAAGGTTTCTGTATACTATTCAACATTGGACCATATGATTAGTGGAATTAATATTAGATTTAACCAAGAAACAATGAATATGATCAAAGCATTGGAAATTTATTAGTTTTAAATATAAATAGCAACGACATTTCAGTCTTGTCCACAGCATTTGATTTAAATTCTGATATGTTGAAAACAGAAATTAATCTTCTTAAACATACAGATAATATTATACCGAAAGGCGAGAAGAATAAATGTGGTGATTGGATAAATTGGCTGACACAATCCAACTGTGGAAGGGAAACTATATTTTGTAATGTTATTAAAGCATTGAAAACATTTATGATTATACCAGTAACGAGCTGTGCTTGCGAGCGTTCATTTTCTAAACTTAGTATTGTGAAAACCAAGCTACGCAGCACCATGACACAGGATTCATTGAGCAAGAACTTGCTTATAATATAAAAATTGATGATGTAATTGATACATTCAAAAACCTTACTCCCGTGGACAGAAGGATGGAGTTGTAAATAGCTATGTAAATAAGGATCTTATGTATAAATTGTGTGTGATTTTTTTATTATACTATATTTTGTAATAATAAATAATAATTTATAATAATATTTAATGATTATACTAGTGTCTAGTAGTCATTAGTACATGAATATTTGGTTCAGAAATTTTGAAGAGGCCCCCCCTGCGGACAAAGTCTGCGCACGCCTATGGTCTACGTTAAGTTTTGCTTGCAACAAAAATCAAATCCAACTTAACGCAAAATAACTTTGTGGAATTTTAGATTTGACAATCATTAAAAATTATTCATTATCTGATTATCTATAAAAAAGAACATCGTTCTGATTACACGTTGATTTGGAAGAACATTACATAATTGCCTAGTCTATTCTACATACTTTTGTTATTTACCTATGTATTAACTATTCTATTTTAATTGTTGTATAAGTGTACTAAAAAGTTACTTTAAAGTATAACTTTGTACTTCGGCCCATATGTTTGAAAAATAAACAAATAGATAAATAATTTTGTATATTGTCTTCATGCTATGCGAGTATCGAAAATAATAAATATTCTGGTAAAAATATTCTGTCAATCATAATTCTGTAGTGAAAACATAATATTTCAAGACGTGTTATTCTGACCGATCCGGACCTAGTTTGAATTTTAAATTTTTGTGTTCAGCTCGAGAGTACCGCATAGTATTACTACCTACGAAGACATCCCACGAATCCATCAGTTTAAATACATCACATTTGCATATTATAATATTAATATTGTAATTCTTATCGACCCTCGACGTCAGAACGATGTCTAACGTTTATCAAGTGTGAACGCGTTCTATATATATATACAGTAAAACACATATACTTTACCTAGAAATAATAATATATACAGTAATAACAAAGTAATGCAGTCAAATCTGCGGTAAAAGGAAAACTCGATGTTGCATTATAATGATTATTACACGACCGTATGTCAGAGACGGTATAATGCGGCTATAAAATATTATATCGTTACGGTAAGATATTATTATAATATCTCCCCACAATAATATTACATGATAATATATTATATTTGCTTTTTTTTTTGTGTGTGTGAAACGACACAGACAGTCTGCCCGGCCTTTAGACGTGCATATCGTCGTACAGTCGAAAATGAAAACTCGCAAAACACAAAAAGAGACGGACGGACCACCGACGTGTATGGATCGTATTGACATTTTCCATTACGGCACGTCTATATAATTCGCGAGACAACCGTCTGGCAGGACTCAGACAATCTCCATTTTCGTATTCTTTTACCGGTGGTTGGTTATATGGCTGGATGCCGTCTCGAAATTATATGGCACTCCCAGAGCAGACGTGTACATTCTTGTATGCCCGCTGGAATTCCGTCCGACGAATATATTCATTCGAGACGCTTCGGAAAAGTTCGATAAGAATGTGATTTTATCTGTATATAGAACCGTCGGTGAAATTCCCGAGCAGTAATCATTACGTTTTTCGATTTCGATTCGATATAATATTATATTATAGTACGCGGTTGTCGATTACAATAATTGCTTACTGACCGAATTAACGACAGCATTTGTTGATTTATTTGATATTTATAATCGTTTTTTATTAACCAGAGCAATGCAATGGCGTATATTATTATACGACTTATACGACATTACGTGACCTATTTTTTAAGATTTTTAAACATCATTGTTCGGATTTATTACTCATTTTAACTCGATGAACGTAGATTTTAGTGTTCTAATTTACCTATACAACATAATATTGAAAAGACTTTTTTTTTTAAATGAACAAATTTGATTTGAAATTAAATGGTATTTTTTGTACGTAGTCGAGTAACACAATTCACAGTACAATTGTATACATTTTTTATGTTAAGGTCAAAATGTATTAGTTTTTAAAGCTAACAAATTCGAAATATATAAGTCGTAAAGTATGGTATATTCTTGGAAATGTAAAAAAAAAAAATGATTGGCGACAGAGAAAAATAAAACATTTATCGAGTAGTTAAAAATGTAATTGAACACCACAAAAATATGTAAAAACTTTATGTGGTTGTAAAAGTAGAAGAAAATACTATTGTCGTTGAGTAGGTAGTTAATGTTTTAGTTGTTTATTATTATAATATAGTGGATAATATAAAAACATAATCGATTGAAGAATAGGTACCTATAATAGTAAACTACATATTCACCGGATGAATAATTCCATGAGCTAATTTAATAGTCATAATTTAATATTTGGAAGAAATGGTTTATTAGTGTATAGAAATTAATTGGAGCTCTAAATAAATTAAAGCTGTAGGAAATACTGAGGATTTGGTGCGCTTTTAGATGACGTTTGTGGCGATCGATTAATTGTGGGTCTATAGTGGATAAAGGTCGAAGTCAGTCAAACTAAGTTAGTTGTCGAATCAAAATTAACATTCAAAGAAGAGCGTACGTTAGTTTTGGAAGAGTATAGCTGGCGAACAATCAGCCAGGTTAAATTATTAGTACCTAGTAGGTAACTCAAATAAACTGTGTTGACAAAAATGAATGTGTCACTTGAAAGGACTCAGCATGAATCGTTTATTCAGGAGACATGCGCATATATGACAATATGCGAGATGATGAATCACAACAGGATGTCGAGCCCGCATTCAATCGTAAAAAGGGGTCAACAAAAATAAGTTATCTGCAATGATGGTGAAATTTTGAATTTATTTTGGATCTTGACTGCATATATTGTCTTTTAAATAAAATTAATGTATGGCAGCTTTTAATAATACAGAAATTATGTTTAGGTGGAACTGAGTAGTAGTTGGTGAAAACGTGTTACACCCGATATTAGGTACTTACGTGTATGTAATATTATGTAGGTATGTATAAGTAGGTAATATAAAGTATAAATAAGTTTGTCATATTAAAAATTATTATATTATTTTCAAATGTAAATAATAATAATAATGATAAGGTTTGTTTCGAGTTCAATACCTAATTCGGAGGAGAAAATACGTTATCGATTATCGTGTGGTTCGTCGAGCAATCGAATTTTTTTATATTCTGACACTAGTCACACTACTATTGTATGTATGATAATATATATATATCACTTTTGTCTTGTAAGGCATGATTATAGTCTTGTGCGCCGTTGTTGGTACGTATGAGAGTAGGACAAATAAATTCAAAAGTCTATTCAGAAATATGGTTCATTTAAATAAAAAAAATTATAATTTCTGTCGGTTAAGTGACTATTAAACCTATTTCTGAGAATCTTGGAGATTTCCGAAGACATTCGCTGAGTAAAATGGTGATTTAATGAATTTAAAAGTATACACTCACTTATTATACTGCAAAATGCTCGTGGATGAGAACATTAAAATATAATTTGTTTAAAAAAAAAAAACAATCGGAATAGTACTCTGCAGTTTATTAGTCTAAATATATATTATATATTTTTTAAATTTACTTATTTTATAGTATCTTAACGAAGTAAATATCTAAGATATTAAACTTAAAATAACTTTAATAGAAGAATTATACATTTTTCTATATTAACGTGATCAAAGTGTTGTTACGATCATTCAATTCTAAGTCGATTGATTAAACTGAAACAATTACTGCAGTATAATGTATAATATTATTATGCATTAAAAAAAATCACTTTTTATGGTTAATTTATAAAATACATTAGTTGAGCTCTACTAGTTCTAATAGATTGTTATAGTGATTTGATGATGAAAGCATCGCGATGATTCCATTAAAAAGCAATCGACCCGAAATTATACAGTCATGAGAATGAGGCGCTTAAAATAAAGCGTTCTCCGTTTGGTCAATCGTCGCGACATGATAGGTAAGAGATAAACATTAAGCCATCATCGTTTGGGAAACTTATTCACTTAAAACAAATAGAGTAAATCTATACTGTATAAAAACAATCTGAGAGGACTTGAGGATTTCAAAGCACAAATTGAAACAAGGTAATTCCATTAACCTTGAGTTAGATAAATAAAAAATAAAATAAACAATAATGAGTTTTTAAAGATTATACACATTGGGTCTTATATTGTTTTAAAATAGAATTCAAGCAAGGAAGATTTAGTATAGTAATTTAACTTATCAAAATCGAAATTATATAATTTTAATTTTTTCGCACACATAAATAATAAAATATTCGGATTTTTTTCTAAAGCTTTTATTATATGCTATATATAATAATATGTATATCAATGGAATAACCGATTTTCATAACCGTAATAAACATTCAACGATGAAGGTTAAAAAGATATTTCATTATACTTTAAAATAGATTATTTATTTTTTTATATTGTTGTATGAAACTATAAAGTTTGGTTCTAGACGATGCGGGATCATAAATATTAATTCCATATAATCTGACTTCTTAATAATTTATAGACAGGTAATATAATCTTAAATGAGCACTGAAAGAATACAACAAAATAATAAGTTGGCTGGTCACAAATATTTTTTTGGTATAATACACATCACATGTTTTTTTATTTATAATCTTAAATTCTTTTTTTTTTTAATTTTCCCTAATATTCTACGAATCTTATTTTTTTTAATATAACTTTATTGTCACAATTAATAACATCCACCATTATAACTGTATGTACAATAAACTACTTACACTATTAAGACTTGAAAAATAAAACACAATATTCGTTAACGACTTAACGTTATACAGGGTTATTTAACTATGTAAGTTACAAAAATGGATAGAATTATACATTCATTTTCCATGTAATCACCGCCATTTTTGAGACGGTAACATTTTAATGACTGCACATAGCATAGTTATAAAAACACACTGTAAACTTCACGCCATCAATTTAAACTTAAATTATTCAATAAAATACACAAACCATTTGCAGTCAAGTAAAATAATAAAAACGTATACACTTATTTGATCAAAAACATACCCAAATAG